AAAAAAAAACATCCTCACAGCTATAATGACCAGGAGACACAATATGACCACAAAGAGATGCAAAATAACCACAGAGCCGCGTATAATCACTACAAAGGTCCCAAGAATGAGTCGAAATACAGCAAATTAACCACAAGAACAAGAAAAAAATACAGAGACTCAAAAAAAGGGATGGAATAACTGAACAGATGTGACCGAAGATTCAAAAAACCACAACGTGGACAAAACCGAAGCAGGAAGGATGAAAAACAAATGAAGGGGAGACGAAACCTCCAAAAAACCTCCACAGGGCCAAACTGAGGAGGATTTCTCACACAAAGCAACAAAAACCTCACAAATCAAAAACAAAAAGGCAAAAACCACCTGTAACCATGACGGCAGGAAAAACTAACTAAAGTGAGGTTTCGTCAGGCGGTGGGACGTACTTCGTGTTGAGCTCCTCGATCTCCTCGCTCGTTTTCCTCTCTTTCTCATGAGTCTTCTGCAGCAGGTTGTATGCTTTGTTGGACGTATCGTTGGCGTCTTTGGCGATCCTCTCAATCTGGTCAGCGTCCATCTTGTGTCTGCAGGGAGAAAAGTCCAAACGGTTTGTGTCTTTGACGAGTATTCAGGTTAAGGTCAGGCCGTCAGCGCGTGTTGATGACACGTGTCGTGGGGTCTTACTTGTCGGCGAGCTTCCGCGCCTCCTCGGCCAGCAGCGTCAGGTTGTTGGGCGCTCCGGTGCCGCCGGGCGGTTTGATGTCCTGTCGATGACATCAGTCGTGTTTTATAAAAAACCCAAAATGCCTTAGAGCTCGGTTGGTCGCCATGGAAACAGCACCCTCACTCACCACTTTGCTGATGGCGTCCTTGGCTTTGTCCAGCTCCTGGCGGGCGCGGTCGATCAGGTTCTCGGCGTCGCGTACTCGGCCCCGGGCGAGGTCGGCCTGAGTGCCGGTGTCGTCCACTGTGTTTCGGATGCTCTTCAGACGGTTCCACTGAGTGGTCAGAGTGTTGTTGATGCCGTTTAGGCGGTCCAGCAGGCCTTGGTCCGCTTCTGCGGGGTCAAAGGTCACAGACATTCAGTCTGGCTTTCTGCTCAGCAACAGGAAATAAACTGCAAACGTCAGATCTCAGTTCAGGTCTCACCTTTGCTGGCCTTGGCCTCCTCCAGCAGGTCCATGATGGCCCTCTCTGCCTCCTTCAGACGATCCTCGAAGGCCTGATCGCTGACGGTGTCCTGACCCGAGCCGAGGTTATCGATCAGCGTCTGCAGTTCGTGAAGCTTCTGCCTCTGCTGGTTCACCTGGACGCGCAGGCAGAAACGTTAGCTCCTCTGTGCGAGGAGAGCGAAGGCGTTGCCTTGGAGTCGGGCTCACCTTGTCTCTGACCAGACTGTAGCAGGAAGGACACTGCTGGCAGCCCGGCACCGAGCGGTTGTAGAAGTAATTCTCCTCACACATGTCGCACCGAGCTCCGACGAAGCCGGGCCGACACTCGCAGCGACCGTCCTCCTTACACTGACCCGACACGGAGCCCTCGGGGTCGCAATCGCAGGCTGCAGGAACAAAGACGAGGACGTCGGTCCATTAATAACAGCTCTCATTCACACAGCACAGCTCGTCACCCTGAACGCTCAAAGGATTCTTAAAGTTACAGGACTCGGTTTTGTCTAACACACAGACTCGAACTCTGCCTGATGCGATGGAAGACGACGCGGCTCAGACCTGCAAACTGCAGGCTGAATAAAGTTGAACTTTACAGTTTGTTAGAGCAGAGAAGGTCTGAGTCTTCACTGAAGCAGGTGCTGCAGCGTCCAAGTGTGCAGGAATGCAAACTGGGATCCTGCCTTTCAGTCCCAGTTTACTCCACACTAACAGACGGCGCGCTGTGACATTACAGACTGCTGTGTTTACCTTAAACAGGTATCAGGGTTAAGGAAGTTCTCAGAGGATCTATTCTGGAGCCGTACAATATGATATCAAAAACAGCGTGTTGGCAGGTTGGATCTGTGCAGGTGCAGAAACTAGATTTAAACACTTCCTGGTGCACGTCGTGCACCTCGTGCACGCAGTTGATGCAAAGCCCTGAAAAGCTGATCATGGCTTCATGTTTCTGGTTCTAACAGACCTGAGCCGGTGCCTGCTGACCTCCGACCGGAGGAGATCCACCAGGATCTATTCTGGGTCCTGTTTTGTTCACGTAACGCTAAAACGTCACAGCGATGGACTCGCTGTGACGTTATCGAGTTTCCTCACGTTTGCATCCAGACACGCTGAAGCCGAAGAAGTTGGTCTCGCAGCGCTCGCACCGAAGGCCGGTGACGCCCGGCTGACACTCGCACTGTCCCGTAACGATGTCACACTGCCCGTTGGTGGAGCCAATGGGATTGCAGTTGCACCTGTGGGGGGAAAGTAGAAGAACATCATCTATGAGTAAACAACACAATGAAACACGTGCATGTTTGTGTTTTCCTGGAAGAATTGCTCAGAATCGACTCATCACAGGTTTCCAGTCAGCTGGAAATGAAAGAGAATTTAAAGTTTATCGCTGTAAGCGTGACTAAGACTGAGGTTTCGTGCCGTGAGCCCGTGAAGGCGCTCAGAACCGAAGCACAGCTACAGATGTGTGGGCGTGATGGACGCACCGCTCGCAGCCATTCCCGCTCCGCAGGTTGAAGAAGCCGGGCATGCAGGCGCTGCAGTCGCGTTCGGCCACGTTGGGGAGGCACTCGCACTGACCCGTGCCCTGAGAGCAGCTGGTCTGCTGGTTCCTGGTGCCGAGCGGCGAGCAGGCGCAGGCTGGGGACAAATCAGAGATCACACGGTTTCCTCGCTGCGCTCGCAATTCAAACATCACGGGAAGGATTTCGGTTTTGGACTCCTCTTACGTTTGCACTTGTCGGCAGGCTCGGGGGCCAGCGCGTTGCCATAGAAACCCTCTTTGCAGCGGTCGCAGAAGAAGCCGTCGGTGTTGTAAATGCATTTGAGGCACTCTCCGTTCTCGCGGTTGCAGTTTCCGACGGCGTTGGGGTCGATGTTGCCGCTGCACTTGCAGCTCCGACACGTTCGGACTACGCCGCCGTTCTGACCCAGAGGGTCGCCGAAGAATCCATCATCGCACAGCTCGCAGCGCTTACCTGCACACAGGTGAGGTCACGTGATTGGCACACGTAACAGTTAATCAAGGAAACCTATTTTTAATCACTTCATGAAACCTACAGGGCACCGGGGACACGCCCGACACCGGCACAGCATGGAAGAACAACACACCTCACACTGGACTAATGGCTGACAGTTTAGCATCTGGTACCTGTAGTCCCAGTGGGGCAGTTGGTGCACACCACCTCTCTGGTTCTGGGAACGACAGCGCAGGTGGCTCCGGGCGGGCAGGGACATGGCTGACAGTCACCTGGCGTTCCCTGGGTGGCGTCGCCATAAAAACTGTCCTGGCAGCGCTCGCAGCTCAGACCGGCCGTGTTGTCCTGACAGTCGCACGCTCCTGGGTGGAGGACAGAAAAAGCAGCCCTGAGTATTAACGAACCCATCACTCAGCCCTCTGTGACGCGCTGACACCACCCTCACCTGTGTTGGTGTTGCAGGTCTCGCTGTGGCCGTTACAGTTGCACGGCTCGCAGGAGCTGAAGGGTCCGAGCTCCGGCTGGGCGCGGCGGTATCCAACCGTGCACTGCTCACAGTGCTGACCCTGGTAACCTTGAGGACACGTGCACTGCTCCACCCAGCGGGCCGGGACACCTGGTCCCCGCCTTGCTGTCACCAAGGAGACATCATCCAGGTAACCAGCACCTGGAGGGTGTGAGTGATTAGTGAACAATAGTAGACGATAAGAGAGTGTGCGTGTGTGTGCAAGCTGCGTACTCCTGTCGCTGTAGGTGCCGCGGATCTTGATGGCCGTCAGATTGTGGAGAAGTTTGTAGAATTCGGCGTGGCTGATGGTCGGCCTCCAGGGGTAATCTGTGCTGTCGTGGAGCCTGAACCAAATTTAATCCAGACCAAAGACAAAAGCATTGAAAAGGAAAATCAGATTATCAAATAATCTACAGGGTTTAAATCAGCTGACATCATCAGCAGATTCTGAAACAAATCCTGAGAATCATACAAATATCACAGCTTCATCCAGATTATTTGCAAAACAAGGAGGACAAAACAGATTACCACCAAACCTCTAACTTAATCCAGATTAAGAGAGTATTAGTGGAGTTTAATAGTAATCACCCCGCGTTCACAATTCAACTAATCATTTTAAATCTTATGACCAAAATATTTTCAATTTAATCCAGATTAAATGACTATGAAGAAATCAACAGCAAATAATCTGTGTCAGCAAAACGTGTCAGGGACTGCAACCAGACAGTCCAGATTAAATCAATCTATGTGAACAGGTTGTAAATAAAAAGTGCATGATTATGTTCAGATTATGAGTTTCATTTACACCCAAAACTCCAGATTAACGCTGAGAGCAAACGTACTGGTGCAGATTATCTGCTCCAGTTTGCTGGATTAAATACTGGTTTTCACTGGGAAAACAACACACGGCGCCTCACCTGAACACATATGTCTGCGTGTTCTCATTGGGGTAGGAGTTGCCCTGGGCGATGAGGGGGACGGCCACCCGCAGGTTCGCCCCCTCCAGCACCAGATCCTCGGCCGACAGACGGCTGTCCCGCCGGTCCACTCGGAAGTTCAGGGTCAGGTTCTGCCCATAACTCAAAACCTGGTTCCCCAAAAACTTCTCTGTGACACAGAAAC